TCTCCGCAGGGCTGCTCTCAATCTCTTCATCCCCCAACCTGATACTGATACCTGTCCCAGGTGCAGGACCTTGCACTTGGCCTTGTTGAACCTCATGAGGTTCACACAGGCCCACCTCTCCAGCTTGCCCAGGTCCCTCTGGATGACATCTCATCCTCCTGGTGCGTCAACGGCACCACTCAGCTTGGTGTCATCTGCAAACTTGCTGAGGGTGCACTCAATCCCACTGTCTATGTCATTGATGAAGATGTTAAATAGCACCAGTCCCAGTATGGACCCCTGAGGGACCCCACTTGTCACCGGTCTCCATGTGGACATCGAGCCATTGACCACGACCCTCTGGATGGGACCATCCAACCAAGATAAAATAGCCCAGCTTATTGTGTGACTTTAAACCTTCTATTGTGTGTTAATTCTGGTTTTTGTTGATGTAAACTGCAGCAATCAGTTTACAAAGAGCTCTTGGTTACTAATTACCATGCTATGGTTTTATTCTTGCAAGAGATTTGCATCAGCAAAGTTCAGTTAGAGATAGTACTGAAAGCTAATCAACTAAGCACACTCCATAGCAACCTCAGGGCATAACCCAGCAAGGAAGCAGTTGTGATTAAAGAGGTTGAAAAGGCTGGGCTTTAACTAGTCGCACCTGCGTTACAGTAACTAAACAATAATACATCTTTCAGTGAGGAATAGGGAGTAAATTAAAAATTCCCTAGATCAGGCATTCACTCAGACTCCATGACCACAGGAGAAAACCAAAAGATTCTCTTTGTGCCGGGTGCTTGGCTGTTCAATAGCTAACTCACATGATCCGAGCTTCTGCCTTTAAGCATAAAATTGACCACAGATTTCTTGTGGGAACAAAGTTTTCCAGTGAAAGCATATGCTTGGAAAGCTCAGAAAACAAAAGGAATCTGCCTAAGTTCATTGAGTAAGAGTTAGCAATATACTCAACTCAGAAGAACCTGTCTTGTAATAAACAAATATATAACGGCTTTACTAGTGCAGATGTAAGCTCTACATCTGCCTCTGGAAGAGGATAGGATAAGGCCTCTCACCTTTGTCTTGCAGTGATGTAGACCACAATGTCTTTGCGCTGGGTGGGTGTCAGCTGGAGGATGTTCACTATTCCTCCTGGCACCCAAAAAAGATCTTGTGCTTGCCTCCCCAGCTGTGGAATACCTGCCACCCCCCAGAGCTGGTGCGCCCCACGCTGGAGAAAACCCTGAAGATCCTGCAGCTGGACTACGTTGACCTCTACATTATTGAGCTGCCAATGGCTTTCAAGGTAAGAAGAAAAATTGCCCCAAAAAGTCCATGGTTGGCTTGAACCAAGGTCTTCATCTAGCATTCTCCCTGCAGCTTCCAGTCCATGTTGAAAATAGCACTTTGGCCCGATAATGTTTGGTATATACTGCATGCGTACATTTCTGTGCACTACCCACACAAAGGGAGGCTTATAGGTGGTGTGAGAACAGTTACTGACAGCTGTAGCATGGGGTCTCTCCACTGGAAGGACAGGTCTCCTAACTGGGGCTGAACACTTCCTGTGCTGAAAAATTACTGTAGCTGAAGCAGCAACTGTGTCTTAATCCTCTCTGAGCCATGAGGAGGGAGTCAATGGAGGAAAGTGGTTATACAAAGCAGCAAAAGGCTAGGAGCAAAGATTGGAGGGGGAGAGGGAAGGGAAAAAGCCACCAAGTTGATTCCTTACTCTGTCCTAAAAACCGAATAGCCTCAGTAGTTATTAAAGCCACTGGGCAAATCATGGCTATAATCTTAATCTCCTTAACTCCAGTGCTCCTCTTGGACAGCTTCAGTAGATCACAGTTGGTCCCAAACATGGGTTGTCCATCTCTACACTCTCAAATGTCTAAAAAGTTGAAGCCTGATATTCCTTCATGCTGCTGGCTCTGGGCAACCTGTAGTCAAAACCTTTGAATGCAAGGAGCTCACGTCAGTATTGCATGCCTCCCTTGCAACGAGCTCTGGCAAGTCCCCAGACTTTCTGGTTTCACAGCCATTTGTACCTTGCTTTACAATTTTCCCCAGCAAGTACATGATATAAAGGCAAATTAATAGTGAAATTAGAAAAATAAGATTCTAAATGTATTTAAGTGCTTTTGAACCAATTAAATCATTTTTCTTAGAGAGAACAGGGTCAGGCAATTAGCTGGCTAATTGTTTCTGTGGGATGTTTATGCTCTAAACTGGCCTCTTTTTGCAAGGAAGGTAGTTCTCTGACTATTAAAATGACATTTTACTACAGACTCCAAACTGCCAGAAGTATCAGATAGGAAGCAATTTGCCAATGAAGCAATCACCTTAGGCCTGCAGTTCCTTTTTCTCCCAAGGAAATGGTATCCCATGAAGACCTGTATAGGAGTAACCGGACTCAGATATTAAAACTTTATTTATATGGTCACATGTATGGAATCCTTTTGGGTACATTTTGAAAAATTTCCCACCACTTGCAATTTCCTGTTTCCCTTTGCTTGTGTTTGTATTCTCTAGTAGTTCATTCTCCCACATAGTAAAGGTCATTGTCTCACAATATAAAGATATAGACAGCTGGCTTTAAAGTAATGTACATCTGACTCCCTGAGGCCTGTATCAACAATCTGAGTTGTTAAAGCAGCCCTTAAGATTCATTCATGTCCCCCATGAGAGGAGAGAAAAAAAAGAAGTCACTTTGTGCCTGAAAAATATACATTTTCCTGTGCCAAATATAAAAAGAAAAAACCTTTTGCAACGGTGACAGGTTTCCTTTCTTTGCTCCCTCTCTCACATGCATTGATGCTTGCCTTTGGAGTGTGCAGGTGTAATGCTAACAAACTCCTATTCTGCCCTAGTCTGCAAGCGTTGGTGCTTTCCTGTCTCCCCAAAAGCCTTCTAGCAAAAGCAGTCTCTGCTTCAAAACCAGTGAAGTTACTTGAGACAAAATTCACAGTCACAGTCTGAAACCAGTAAGAAACATGTCCCTGCAGAGCCCAGTGGTGCAAGCTGTTATAGAGGCTTTTAGGCAGAGTAAGAGGAATCTGTTTTCAGACAGCACCACTCAGAGGAGGAAGGCCCCACCAGGCCAGCACTTGTGGGTGGATCAAGAATGGCTGACATCTGGGGTGACATTATTCACTAATCTACCAACATTAGCCTGCACCTCCCTGTATTTTTCCCCTCATGCAGATTCCCCATTCAGGACTTTTTGTCCTTCCCTTTAGCCCAGCTGTAGTGCTCAGCCCCTCTACCCTAGCAAGGCAGATGACCAGCAGGAACAAGTCTCCTCCAGGCCACCACGTGCCCTCTGCCTGGGGAGCTCATACCCACTGGCAAGTTTTCTAGGGGCCTCTGCTCAGATGACTGATCCATCAGTAAGCAGGTACCTGTGCACTAAATGATCTCCAGATCCCTCCCAACTAAATTATTCTGTGATCTAGCAGGAAAGCAGGTATTTTAGCCTTACATTGAACAAGTCTCATCCAAGTATCTTGTCATTTTAAGAGAATAAATCAAAACAGACCAATGGCTTCACTATTTGACTTCCTATTGCCTTCTGTTTATACAATAGGCATTCACAAGTTATTAAAATTGCTCTCTTGAGAAAGACCACTTGTCAAAGGCCATTTTGTGAAAGCGATGGGACATGCAGACCTGTCCTCCTGCATCTGTGTTGGTGAGGAAATTATTATAATGGGAGCAGGGCTTTTTCTCTCAATCATTACCAACTGCTGTGTTTTAAATAGGCAAGTAAGTTGTCTGGTAGCTTTTGGAGTGCCTCCAGACTTTGAACATGACATGATATGATGTGATCCTTGCCTAGTGGCAGTGACTGTATCGTGTTGTCCCACTTATTTCAGTGCTCATAGAGCAGCACAGTAGGAAGCCACCTTATGTTCAGTCTAAGGTGTGTGGCTATCTCCAAGAGAACTGCAAGAGAAGACAACAGCATTTGTGGGAATGACTGGTGTGGCGTAGTCCATGAGAACTCAAAGCTGAGAAACATGACCAACTTCTGAAAGACCTTTTTGAAGACCCAATAACCACCATCCTGTCACCATCAAACACTGCCTTTCTCTCAGCACTTTATCCTTCTTTATCCACCTGCAGACAGTTCTTCCATTCAGGAACTCCCTTGGCATAAAAAGGTAGCTTGGCAGAGAAAGTATTGCCTGGAGACTATTGAAGTACAGTTGTCTCTGCTCAACACCTTGTGCAGTTCCCTGGAGGCAAAAGGAAGGATTGATCCTTGTGGAAATCCACAATAGCTGGCACCACTTATCTCTGTCAACACAAGTTAATCTTAAGTGCCATTCATCCTGACTTTGTTCGCTTTTCCGAACACAAGTGATAGAAACAGAGGAAAATGGGGGAATGATAAATTAGGTAATGCAATTGCTGTCTATTGACTACTGTAAAAAAAGTAATGTTGGACAGAAGTTAATAGATTAGAAGTGGAACAGAGTAAAAAGGTCTTGAGTTCAGACTCATCCCCTGAACTCTAAGAAGTCCAACTGCTATGCATTGAGTTTGCAGTCCTTGGAGAGTCTGCTGGGATATCATGGGAAAGAATGGTTTGTTCCAAAATACCACAGGGTGGTTTTGTGAATAGGGCTTCTCCACCTCAAGTTATGATGGCAAACAGTTTGCCTTCTAATAGAAAAATGTACCCAACAGCCACCTACCTCCTTCTAGTCAAGATTTTTTTTTCCAGCAAGACACAGCAACAAAGGCAGCAAGTCGTCTTTGTGGAATTAATTGATGAAAACCAGCACGTTTAGAGGAGACGGGCTTATGCCTGTAACAGACCTTGGCCTCTGAAATCTGAGGCTGTGTTTTTGTTAGGCTCACTTTTCCCATGAAATTCCTTGAATTTGAACTTCTTGACTGAATCGGGAGGCGCCAGTTACTGATCATATTAGTCACAGCTGCATGTTCCCAAGGAGTTGCCATGTCAACATCTTGTACCCAGGCCTTTGAAATATAGCAGTTTGCAGTCAGATCAAACGTCAAACATCACTGAAGGGGTTTTTATGGGGAAAAAAAAAAAAAAAAGTGAAATTGCAATCAGACAAAAGGCAAGGAGGTTTTAATGCATTGCCTGCAACAGCAGTGAGATGACCAGCAAATAAGAGAAAGCTGTGCTCATGAGATATTAGCTTATAACTCATCTCTGAGGTCTTGTTTATGGGGTATAGGGATAGGAAGAAAGAGTTCCTAGTACCAAAAGAAAGGTGGATAATGCACTTCAAGAGGTTCATGGCCTGCACTATAGCTATGCATATAGCCCTTTACTACTAGTAAGTAGCTCTTGGAAATGGTCCCTCCAACTGTTGGGAGCTGGACTGAGCTGGTACTCTTCCCAGGTGCCTAGGACACAAGCAGGAGCAAGGGAAGGGCTGGGAAGAAAGGAAGGAAGAAGTGGAAGATAATACAGGTTGGTACTCTAACCCAGCCCTTTAGAAGGAGACTAGTCCTTTACATTATGGCATCCAAAGGTCAAAAGTTTATTGAAAAACAAGGACATCTGGGAACTCCTGAGTGTGCACTCATGTGACAGTTCAGAAGTGTATCCAAGGATGATCTAGTAGTGGAGGATGTGGTAAGCCCAGCATGGATGACCTGTTGAACTTAGGGTGTTTCAGAAAGCCTCTGAATTTTTTTTTTTTTTTTTTTTTTTTGCTAGTAGAAACAGAGTCTGTGGAAAAATCTTTGCTCTGAGGAGTGAAAATTTTTCTTTAAAGCACAAAAATGTGGTTTTACTTTTCAGCCTGGAGATGCAATCTACCCAAAAGATGAAAATGGAAAAATTATCTACCATGAGACAGACTTATGTGCCACTTGGGAGGTAAGCAAACACAACATTCATCCATATATGCTTTAAAACCACAGATCCTCATTCTTAGGTTTTACTTGTGGCCTTCATAAAAAGAGCCAAGGCATATTGGCAGGACAAATGGGTCAAATTCTACTAGCTCCATGGATAAATTTTACTTCTGTCCCTAAGATTGTTGCTCCTTGCCATCATTTTTTTAATTTAAAAAAAAAATTGTTGAAATATCTGACATCCACATTCCTTCTTTCAGAGAATGCACTCTATATTTGCTAGTTGAGGTATCTGTAGGTTTTTACCAATCTCTGCTCTTTATCAGATCTTTACAGCAGGAGAAAGTTGGAGCCCTAAGAAGTGACTGGATCCTCCTCAAAAAAAGGAAGCTTTTCACCTTCAAGAAAAAACACAATTTGCCCTAAAGCTCACCATTAAAAAAAAAAACCACACAAAAGAACACCACCACCAAAAAACCCAAAACCCTTGCCATCAGAGCAAGTTGACTCACTTCTAAATTTAATTATCAGATGAGAACGCAAGGTTTTTCTGCTAAGAAACTTGGAGGGAAGTAGCATTTGCCTGAAAGATTGCATCCTAAATTTGTTTGTGAGGTGCTCTAGTCCTATAGCCAGATGTCTCCTTAAGCCTACTGCCACTTGGCTTCAGGATCTCGGGTGAGGCAGAAAGTGAGATTAGCAATCTCCTCACGTTCCTGCCTTTTGAAGCCTTGGATGTTCTTTAATTCATGGCCAAAGCTGGTCAGCTCTCCTTCTGCATCAGGCCTGCTGCAAAAACATTACTAGTTCAGCCCAGTTCACACCAAGAGAGATAACATGGGTGACTATACGCTCCGCTTCAGCTTGCGCCATCCAGAGCTGGACAATCGTGTCCCAGTTTAGCTCTACTTGAGATGCAGCAGATAAAGATGGAGAATGGGTGAAATTCTGAGTGAAAGTTCAGAGTGGGAGAAAGCTCAGGGCGGGCTTGGGCTTTCCCCTGGCAGCTGAGCCATCCAGGCTGGGTCTCACGGGGAGCGGGGACTTCCACGTTAGCTGTTTATGTTACCCTTGTCTTTGGCTGATGCAGTCCATTCCTCTCTTTCACAGGCTAGTTGCTCAAATGTTGAAAGCAACAGCTGTCTGAACACTGTTATGTTTTTACCTTCAAGCTGGTGCTTATTGTAAAGGATGTATTGCAGCAGGTCACTCTCTTCAGCTAAGCAGCCAAGAGAAAAATAGGTGGTGGTGAGTGCCTGCAAATAATAGCATCAATAAAACTGGCTAAACTCAATCCAGGTAATTTCACCCTCTCAGTATGGTGCTAGCAAGTTACTGATCATATTAGTCATTGCTAGCAAGGCAAGCATGCAAAAATGGCTCCAGATGACTGTATTTGCTGACTTGTCACTGAGTGATACAAAACATATGAGGCCAACTAGAGGTCATCAAATATATGTGCCTCTTACCTCCCTGCTTTCAGCTCCTGAGAGACAGAAAGGAATAACAAAACCAGCAGGAGGGGCATCCAGCTCCAGGATGGGGTCTGCTCTGCCTCAAACAGTCACTGAATCATTTGTGTGCAGAGTTTCTGGGATCAAAGGGGAAGACCTTCCCCTTAACAACCCAGCAGATGAATACTGGATATGAATACACCCCCTGGTCTTCATTAGCTTCATAAGGCTTTCTCAGCTATTAGGATTTGTCTGAAGTGCAGAATATCTAGAATTCCTCTCTCCCCCCCTTTTTTTTCTACTTTATAATCTACTGAATTTTTCTGTACTGGTTTTGTGATGTGCCTTGCTAGATATTTAGGGGATTTCACTGGATAGAGATTTCATATGAAGAACTCTCACACAATCAAAAGGAATAAACTGACTTATCAGAAAATCAATCTGTTTTGTTCACTCCCTTCTCCAGCTTTGAGGCAGTGCTAAAGAAGCCTAAACTAAGCAAAACTATTTGAAAGCAGATGTCTGGCACTTACATATCTGTATCTCAGATGAATCTTTCTGCTCTCCAGACAAATTCTACCTTCCTGGGAGGTATAAACATTAGGTCTGGAAAGCAGGTCTACACGGGAACGGAGTTTAGAATAGTGGGATGGTGCCAGCCCTCATGCTAGTAGAGCTGTTAGTTCTGCTGCAGCAAAAGTTTTTCTGCAGCCTCAAGAATGGACTATCTTCCACCTATCTCTACAAGGCATGCTCCAAGGAATCAAGCCAACCTGTGGGACTCCACTGGTCTTTGCTTTCTTTGCAGGCTATGGAAGCATGTAAAGATGCAGGCTTGGCAAAGTCTATTGGAGTATCCAATTTCAACCGCAGGCAGCTGGAGATGATCCTGAACAAGCCAGGACTTAAGTACAAACCTGTCAGCAACCAGGTACGACTGCAAGCTGAGGGCAATGCCTGCCATGGTGCCACTGTCCTGTGGGGAACGCTGAGGCAGCATGTGGTTCAAGCCAAGGGTGATGTACACTTTGCCACAGATGGTGCCCTCCATACTGTCACACTTCCATTTCTAGCTTGAAAATATTACTCATCCTACCTAGGCTAAAGATAAATATTTGAAGATGCTGGAACAATTGCTCTCCTCAGTTTCTGCTCCAGGACTATAAAACTGGTGCCTCTATGCCAAGCCGGGTTGAGTGCTGAATCAATGCAGATCTTAAATCTCTACCATGTACCTTAACTTCAAGTCCAAAAAATTCCCAAGACAAACCATTCAGGGCTGACCAGCTGGGTTAGCTCAGTAGGTTAGAGCATGGTGGTAATAACGCCAAGTTCACAGGTTCAATCCCTGCTTACTGCAGGGGGGTTGGGCTCAATGATCTCTCAAGGTCCCTTCCAACCCAAAGCATTCTATGATCTATGATCTAAACAGTCCTCAATGAAGCTGTGTCTACTTCAGCTGACACCAAACCAAATCAACCCTAAGTATCAGGGATCCTGGGGCACTCCAAGCTTCCCAAGTTTAAAAGCCATTAGAAGTAACTCCTAAATTTCCTGTACTTGCTCTCTTGTGCCTTTCTTATAAGATGTCAGTAAGAGTTAGGAGGAAAATCTAAATTAAAGAGGAGACCCCATTAAGTGGCTGACTTGAGCTGAACAAGCCCATGGAGATGACAGGCATGTCTGAGTTAAATTACAGTAGCGGGGCTCAGAGAAGACTGTAAGCGGCAGTGACCCATCTGAATGCCCAATACCTTTGACTCTGGTATTTGGCAGCTCACTGCATTTCCTAGAAATCACTGGGAAGCTCTTCTGATTCATCTGGCACAAACAAATATCCATGTTAACAGTATCAGAGAAGAGGCCAGAGACCAACTGGGACCAACTTCCCACCCTCAGCTCATGGCCTGGAGGGCTAGGATTGGCAGAGGGCAGGGAGGCTGGCTGTAGCCTTCATTTCTGTCTTAGGCCTGCATGGAAAGGCAGCCTGTGAGAGGAGGAAATTCCAGTACCCTTCACTGGTATTAACATGCCCAGTGGGTGAAAAATGCAATTGCCGTTTCTGGCGTGCCCCTAAGACTGCACTGAGCATTGCTGCTGCTTCCTGGGGTCGAGGAAAACTGGGCAAAAGATTAAGCCCAGCTTAAGGCAGCTAGCCAGCAAGTACAGATGTGCCGGCTAGCTTCAGACTGCCTGCAAACAGTAGTTGCTCTGTCACCTTGTAGACATCCCTTTCCCAGAGACTGAGAACACAGCCAGAAAATTCCTGCCTGTAAGGGAATGATGCATAGTATTTGCAATGTGGGAGGGCAGAGCTTGTAACAAGGTCATAACCATTATGGAAATGTCTCACCTTTTACATATCCCCCCTTAGCTTTCAATCTGGGCCAGCTTACACCAACACTTCCCCTAAAAGCAATGTCAGATTAGTCATCCTGAATGCAAGAGGCAGAGAAACAAAGATCTGACCCACATGAGATTGGCTGCCTTCTCAGCCTGCTTCTCTAGTGAGCTTTCCTCACCCCCATCACCATCACTCCACTTATTGCCACCTTTCCACTAGGGGCCAATAAAAATTCCATCTGCTGTCAAAAAAAAAAAAAAAAAAAAAAAAATCACACAGCAATGTACAATTGGAACAGTAACCACAGGTGTGTTCCCCTATATCCTTAACTTACATGTATCCTTTCCTGAAAGCATCATGTGGTCTGCAGCTCTCACAAATATTCGGAGACCATCAGCTTCTGCATCTGGTCCCATTGATTAATCATCCTTTCTATGTTATTCTTGTAGGTTGAATGCCATCCCTATTTCACCCAACCCAAACTCTTAGAATTTTGCAGACAACATGACATTGTTATTGTTGGATACAGCCCACTGGGAACTTCAAGGGATGAAACATGGTAAGTTTCCATGTTACTCTCTAATAGCAGTATCACTATCCAGGGAAAGAATAATAGTTCTCCATTGTTGAGCCCCTGTGCAAAATACCTTCATCCCTGTTTTTCAGAGTAGTTTTGAACTTCAGTGTCTAAATATTACTGTTGTGAATGTAAACTTGCAACAATCCTGCTGCATGCTGTCATCAAAAAATGCCACGTGTCTATATAAAAGGTTGCCTTAGGTCTCCTCCAACAGAAAGCAAGTGTCTGTACCTGGGAATGTTGAGGCTTAGGTGAGGAATCATAGAATCATTTAGGTTGGAAAAGACCTTTAAGATCATCCAGTCCAACCATTAACCTACACTACCAAGTCCACACTAAACCAATCAAGGGTAGACCAGACTAAACCATGTCCCCAGGTGTCACCTCTGCCCGTTTTTTGAACACTTCCAGGGATGGGGACTCCACCACCTCCCTGGGCAGCCTCTTCCAATGCTTGACCACCCTTTCCGTGAAGAAATTTTTCCTAATTTCCAACCTAAACCTCCCCTGGCACAGCTTGAGCCCATTTCCTCTCATCCTATCGCTAACTACTCGGGAGAAGAGACCAACACCCACCTCGCTACAACCTCCTTTCAGGTCTCCCCTCAGCCTACTCTTCTCCAGACTAAACAACCCCAGTTCCCTCAGCTGCTCCTCATAAGGCCTGTGCTCCAGACCCTTCACCAGCCTTGTTGCCCTTCTCTGAACACGCTCCAGCACCTCAATGTCTTTCTTGTATCGAGGGGCCCAAAACTGGACACAGTATTCCAGGTGTGGCCTCACCAGCACCGAGTACAGTGGGAAGCAGGTGAGGAAGTAGAAACTAAGTCAACATTAGGACATCACATAAGAAGTTGCCTTTGACAGCCCACCAACCTAAATGCCAAAGCTTTTCTCCCATCTTTCACACTACTTGTCAAAAAGGCGCAGTATTCTGTCCACAAACAAGTAGATGCCTCTGTGTTTTGACATTAAAGATAAGGAGGTTTTCTGGGTTTTCTTTTTTTCCAATTTTCTTCCAGGGTAAATGTGTCTTCACCTCCTTTACTGAAGGATCCTGTACTGAATGCCATTGGCAAAAAGTACAACAAGACAGCTGCACAGGTTGCTTTGCGTTTCAGCATCCAGCGAGGGGTGGTGGTCATCCCAAAAAGCTTCAATCCACAACGCATCAGAGAGAATTTCCAGGTAAATTTGTACTCCAGTGGTGCATGGATGACTCTACTTACATTGGCTTAGCCCCTGTAGAAGGTGATTTTCTCATTTCTTTCTGTAGACCTAAGGCTTGACCAATGTCAAGCTTTGCCACATTTGATGCTTTTTGTCCCCATCACTTAATGGTACCACGATATGACAACAATAGAACAGAGAGGAAATTTTGGTCTCTTTTAACCCTCTGGAGTAGCTAAAGTTCCAGCTGGTGGTGTATCCCTGACCACAAGTTGCTGCAGTGAGCAGCACAAGCAAGATGAAGTCATTCAGTAGGTCAGCAGCCCAAGGTTGCTGGCTGTAGGTTTTCAGGAATGACTGACTTGTTCTGCCCAGTCTTGAGGTATGGGGCAGCTTTGTTAGGGAAGGGTTGCTGCATACAGGTGTGCCAGAAAGGCTCATAACCACACCACCAGAAGGCATCTGGCTTGACCACCACACCCAAATAAGATGAAGAATTTGTTCCTGTGTCCCTCACAGCACTCAGTACTCACACTGCTCCCCACTTTCCCTGCCAATGTATTGCTTTTAAAGCTGGTGGCCCAGTACTTGCCAGACTACCTTTCTCTTCTTGCAAAAGACTGTAAGCAAATGTGACTGGATTTATTCGTGTCCTCAAGACTTTCCTATAAATGCAAGCAAGTATGGATTTGTGGGGGAGACAGAGGGGAGGAGGGGGAATTGTACTTCTGAAATCTGGAACACATGAATGTTGATTGCGATAAGAAATGCTAACTTATTCCTAACATCTCCTTCCATTAGATCTTTGACTTCTCCCTCACTGAGAAAGAGATGAAAGAAATTGAAGCCCTGAACAAAAATGTTCGTTATGTGGAACTGTTAATGTAAGTCCAGGAGGAATCCTAGATCCTCACAGAACATTCCTGTCTTGTCAGAGGATTTTAAAAAAATCACTTCCTTTTAATATTAATTTGTGTATAAACAACCTTATTTTAAGGTAAGGCTTAAATATGGGAGGTCTTTAATGCAGCCCGAATATGCTCCTGGACTTGTTGCAAAAATAACTGTGCAGTACTTGCTTACAGCTCAGGTGTCAAAAGCCCACCTAGTAGAAAGCAACTGCATCTGGCTATTCCATCTCTGCTCCATCTCCTTAAATGCTTTGTGCTATATGTTGCAATGACAGCCGCTCACAAGGTATAGCATTGCCCCTGTCGTAGCAGTGTGGATATGAGAGCTGAAATTCAAATAGGAGCACTTTCTTGTCTTTCCCTTCCTTCCCACTTTCACTTCCACTGCTCAGCAAGCCACGTTGTTGCTTGAGTACAATGGCTTATGAATTGTAAACATAGTGTTTCCAGAGGCAACTTGTCCTAATTCTTAGTCTTCCACATGGCAATTTAAGAACACTGCTACATGAAACCACAAGGCTAATTTAGGGAGAGCTGTGCTCCCTCTTGCTTAATCAGAACATCAAAATTTGCCTACCCAACTTCTTCATAAAAGATGGGACATCTTACAGACCACAAGTGGTCAGAAACTTTGTTTTGGCCTTTCTTCTGATGCTGTCTTCTTCAGCAGTCTCCCTCTCCTGCTGTCATGTTGAGTTGCACCTTCCTTATGTGGAAAGCAGAAAACCATGCAGCTTGAGTGCTAGGCCACATCCTAATTCTCTCTTCTGAGAACTAACAAGGCTTGATCTCTTGCTGCTTGTGATGTAAAGCTTACCACCCAATGTAGTTTTGCTTCACCTGAAGGCTGCACTACTCCAGAAGGCTCAGACTGAACCAGCATCTCCTTTTCTGGAAAATGAGGCTGTTTGTTTTTCCTTCAGCTCAAGAACATCTACAGTTTGTGGCCAAACTGTATGCTTGCCCCTTTTCAGGGCACTCAGTGTGTAGCCAAACACTAGAGATTAATTTCCATGCATTTCTCTTGTTACCTTGGATTATCTGTGTCTTGCTAAACCATAGTGTGCTCAAGCACTAAAAATAATGAAAAGCAGAATAGCAGCATCAAAAGCACTCTAAAACATTGACCATTGCTCAAAAGATGGGGGGAATGTTGCAAAGGAACAAATAAACCACTTAGTTCATATTTATGCAGCACAGTAAGTTAAAAGCATCATAATGGAGTTCATCTTTCACGTTTAAGTTCAGCCAGGTGCTCTGAAGCTTTAGTTTCTTAAAACTTAAAATAGCTTTCCATCAATTAGCAGCACTTAGTTCCAGAAGGCTTCTCACAAATGCCCAAGCAGATTCTTATGTGTGTTTTGGTATTTGAAATTGTTTTTTCGTAGCTATGTTGAGCCATAACGTCATTTAAACTTTTGGTGAGTATATACATGAAACATAACCTTGGTGCAAATGCAAAGGCCTTTTCCAGAAGCAAAGTTAAAGGATGCAAATGCCCACAGGAGAAGAACTTTCTAAGCTACCAATACAAAAACTAATAAACTAAATGCTTTGCTTTATTAGACTAAATTTAGTCACAGGAGGCTACTGAGGACAAGGAATACAGGATGCATAGGATGGCCATTGGCAGCTCTGTTTTTCAAAGGAGTGCCATGTTTGGGGAAAATGCTTAAATACAGTCTGACCTTAACTGTGGTGTGGAAAATGCCTTCTCGGAAAAGTGATGTTGCCATGTAAGGAGCAGCTAAACATGTATCTGCCTACTATGTGTTCTCACACTGAAGTGTCTGGAATTGACACTGCAACAGATGACTTACCAGCCTAAAGAGATTTCTTATGTCATCCAGCAATATATACAGAAAGGCTTCTGGTTAGTCAACTTTGTGCAAAACCTTCGACTTCTG